TGATTACGACGCTGTTTAGCCGTTAGATCAGGACCTTGGTGTGATCGCAGACCAACTTTCCTCAGCGATTCCTCACAGATTGAACAGATGTTCTCTGGTTGTTCACACTAACAACTTCATCAGTTGTTTCTGCACACATTTCTATAGACAGACAAACCGGATGTGATGATCCTCATCTCTGGTGGTGACACGTGGCCTGCAGCCGTCTGACTGATTGCTTGTTGTATCCTGATGTCTGAAACAATTTCTTAGACAACAAATGGTGGAGTTGTGGACTTTGGAGTGTCTGGCTACAACGACCTGACATCCAGCATCCAGCATGCTAACAGCCTGTTCTGGTCTTTGTTTTGATACCTGTGCCATCATGTGTGCTGGTCACACTGTCTGATTGTTGTTCTTTAAAGCCAAACCTGTTCAGGATGTGGATTAAGGTGTCACCTGGTGAACGGTCCTGAAACTATTAGTGCACAGTTGGCTTAGCTTGGCGGTTCAAACCAAAACAATGAAAAAAATACAGTTTTCACTTTTTCTCAAAGTCAGCTGAGAAGATCATTTGCATGCTGCACTTATATTATAGCAGATGTTTTCAGCTAGAAACGCTAAAAACCAGGTGGACTCTACCTGTAAACAAAGTTATCAACCAGCTAGTGAACAACGTGGAGCCTTTTGCAGCTAAAAAGTTACATTTTTCCCCCCCCCAGGAATTGGAGCAGATCAAAAATACAAGGACTTAAATTCAGAGTTTAAATAGATTCTAATGCTGCTCTATAACAACTCTTACTGTAATTTCCGGACTATTGAGCGCACCTAAATATATGCCGCACCCACAAACAGAAAACAAATATGTACATATACAGGCCGCACTTGTCTATAAGCTGCAGGTGTCCATGTTGCAACATGAGATATTTACACAGAAAGATTTTTTTTTACTTTTACGTACCGGCAATATACACAAAGATGTAAATGCTTTTTTCCAAACAGTTCCTGTAACATGGCTGGTTAAAAAATATAAAATACAGCATCCTACCAGGAAAAGTCATTGATCACTATCTTCATCTTCCTCCTGCACTAAAACCACTAAAGTCGTCTTCTTCAGTGTCAGAATTGAACAGCCTCAGAATTCCTTCGTCACACACTTCCTCAGTCTCTCTTTCGTTGTCGCTCTCAATGTCACTTACATCTCGAGGCAAATTCGTAAAACTTGTAAAAATCCATAAATTAGCCGCGTCATTGTTTAAGCCGCAGTGTTCAAAACGTGTGAAAAAAGTAGTGGCTTATAGTCCGAAATGTACGATAGTTAACTTGTTTGCCAACATGGGATCTGATGGTCACATTTATGGCATTTTTAAAGTGTCTCCACTGCTGTTCCTGGACGACACCTCGACCAGTCATTTGCTCACTGGGCTCCTAGTAAAAACGTACAGAGGTCTTTACCACAGAGCTGCAAAACCTCCCAACCATTTTGTTCCTGCAGCCACTTTGCTGACAGCCCACCTGCAAATGAAGTGGGGTGGTGGGGGGGGAAGCACTGAAGATCCATAAATCTTTTATGCGCCATAATGGCTTGTTCACATTACCTGCCCACACCTCAGCCTCCACGGAGCGAGCCGGGCCAGCGCTGAGCAGATCAGGTCTGAAAACCACTGCGAGCATATGGAGCACTTCAAACACTCAGAGCCTCCCCGGGCCTGAGCTGTGGTCGCACCCATGAATTATAGAAATGATCTAATTGTTTTCTCATTTGGAAATACTGGGGGCCCTCTTCTCTGCGTCTCAGTTTTAACAGCCTGTGGTTTCCAGCAGGGCACATGATTCAGTGCTGCCTACCTCCGACACGTTTGTTGAATCCAAGGTGGTCCGTCCTGTCAAAACAGAGCCAGAGCCGAGGTAGAACCTGAACCTGTTGCAATAAATTAACACGTAGGCACAGGGAGAGAGAGGAGGGGGCCTAAAGTGGAGTTCAAAGGAGGGTGGTTGTGATCAGAGGAGGGCCGAGGGCACATGTGATGGTAAATACACACGAAACAAGGCTGGGGATTGAATGAAAAGTTCCATTTTGGCTCCTCAGAGAAGCTTTGGAAGATGTTTACTGCCAGGAAACCATCCAAAATCCCTGAGAAGTTTGGACTGACAGAAGTAAAATACTGAGCGAGTGAAATGACGAGATACTTGGCCAGTCAGAGTTTGGACCTGTACTATTAATGATAGCTGACTACTTATATTCTGAGTCATTTCAAGTTAAAATAACAAATCAAAAAGCTGACTTTATAGGTGAAATTAATTCAATATCAAATGTTACAGCATATGTTATATAGAACTTACCAAATAGGATACAGTACCAGTACCTTGGACTTGCTTCAACACAGTCTTGCAGAGAGACGTCATTCCTGAATGAGGCTGTTGTATGAACGCTACAGGTGAGATTTCTCATTTCATCGATCAAAGTGAAGGGTTTTACTTCTCATCCAGCTTCAGATAGGTGACTTCATGTTGATGTTTGTTACGCTGTCACAGGAAGAGCTCCAGTGCTTCTTTGTCACCTGATGAGAGGAAGCCAAGAGAGATAATGGATAAAAGCTATAAGGGGAAAAAAAGGTGCTGTTCTTTCAAGCTGAATCATTGATGAATTTTATTCTCCTGACAATGAGTTTTGTGGATTATCAAACAGGGACATTATTTCTAGACAGATTTGCTGCTAATGACTTTCTAAAG